GCTTGTTATAACAGTTATTGTGAGTGATTTATTTTTTATAACAAGAAGTAAATGACAATTTGTGACACAGGAATAAATGGCCGGGTTATTTTCGGCCTCTGATTTTAAGACGTTCACCAAAACATTTCGGAAAAATATTAAGATTTACGTCAGTTGGACCGATTTGAAAATACCTCCAAAAATGTAGGTTTTTACGAATATAAATAGTTTCTTAAGAACTTTTTTAAAAAAATCCCCTCAGATGACAATAGATTAAGCGTAAAAAATTTGCATAAAAATCTTCTCAACGGAATCGTAATAATGACGTTTTTGATGCTATTTTTTAACTTTTTTTAAAGATTGTTTTACGAAAAACTTGAATAACTGGGCCAAAACTGATTAAGACTTATGTGGTCTCAGTAGAAAGGCATTTTCTCGCTCTTTTTATTTCTGTGCAAAAAATGCGTGTATTAGCAAATAAATAAAAAGGGTGAGAAAATACCTTTCAAATCGGTCCACCACACGTAAATCTTGATATTCTTCCGAAATATTTTGGTGGTAGTCTTAAAATATAATGGATTTTATAATTTCGATGGAAACACAGTAGCGATTTTTTTTTTTTATGGGAAGTGATGCAGTCTAATGTACATGCATACATACATATGTTTTTATTATTTTACGGGCAACAATGCGGGCGAGTGTAACCCAAGGCGTCACCCCGGCTTGATGCCAAGCTATCTATCTACGTTTTTACCGGCCACCCATGTTTTCAGTTAGACGCCACTTTGCCTATTGTTTAGATACATTTCTGTTTACACATTTTATCTAACTTTATTTTGAGCCACTTTTCTTTTCGTTGTCACAACGGGTACCATATTAAAGGTTTCAAAAATCGATTGCGATTGTACAGTACGTACTTACATATAAACAGATGTACATACATACATAGGTGTAGCACACACCTAAGATCGACACACATTTGTCATTAAGAAACTTCGCAATCAGTTAGTATGTCGAAAATGCTTGAAATCAAATGAAATCGCATTTGCATTTGTTGATTTGTATTGGTAAATATCGTACCCGTATCAAAAATGTAAAAACTTATTAGAGTTCTTAAACACGTATTGATTTGATTTCAAGTATTTACAGTTGAATATAGGTTTATAACTGTGTTTTAAGGTTCAGGGAAAATACTCTTTTATTACTTTCTTATACCACCAGTATGGGCTTCTAATGTTCTGATAAGGGAAATTTTTATTTTATTAGGTATATAAATTTTGGTTTCAGTGCACCGCAAATTATATAGTACTTAAATCAAGGCGAATTTATATATGTATAATTAATACATAATATATATTAATTCGCCTTGACTTAAGTTTTATAAATTTTCTGTTTACAAATTAGCTTTAAATGCAATGCCTGGTTTTCATAGGGCGTTGATATAATACAAATTTGAATGACAAAGTTGAGCACAAAAAAATGTAATTGTAATTTTTATCACTTCAATATCTAGCAGAAATTTGGTATTACATTGTCCCTATTTCAAACCTTGCGACATAATAGTATGCTTTCAATTAACATCTAATTTCTAATTAATAAGGTCCCGAATATGGTACTACGGAAGCTGCATGGAAAAGCGTACTCACCGAATCTGAACGCATCAGTGACGTACACATGAAGATCAAAGAAAATTTATGCAACGACGTGAGCAGCCAAATAAAAGGTTGGCAAAAGGACAATTATCATCACACGCTTATGCAAATCAAGCAACGCAAGGATATGGAAGATTTGTTTAAGAAGGCGCAAAAGCCCTGGGCTAAGTTGCTAGCAAAAGTAGAGAAGACAAAGTCTGATTACCATGCTGCCTGCAAAACGGAGCGCAGTGCCACCAATCAAGAACGGAATGCCACGGCGGATAGTTCACTGTCACCGGACCAAGTATGTATCAACACATAGAATCAGTAAGATTGTATTAACCCTTTGACCACTACCACACAGTTTCTTATATGTTAGTGGCTCGGTGGGAACTGCAAATGAAGAAATTATTAACTTTGCTTCACCGATTCGACACCGTTTTTCATGTGTAGGTTTCTTTTTTATCAACATTCCCGCATTGTTGCCTATTTATTAAAGATAAGAGCGATTTTTTGTTTGCGTATCAAGGCAAACATAAAGGTCTTTCGCAACTCACATTGTTAGGTTATTTAAAAATCAATACAAATGAGTAATTTGTTGACCATATTTGAAGCAAGAAGGCAGTGTAGACATATAATATGGCCAAGCTTTTAATTGGTATAGATGTCATTTAGCAAATCCTAAAACTAAACAAAATACAACTTTATATACAATACAACAGGTTTAGAATTATCTAAAATTTTTGGATCAATGTAAATTTTAAAAACATAACCCGAAAATGTCTGGGTACATATCAATAGTTAAATCTTTCATTTTTTGGCAATTCTGAAAGCGTTAGATGAGGAAATGCAGCGTGCTGTGTATACTTTGTTTCCAATGAAAATGGCTATCCTCGAGCAAAATTCTTCATTTCTGTTTAAATTATTCCTCATTCAGTATTTTTATACCCGAGCGCACTTGTGCACAAGGGTATTATAACTTTGTTCACATAACGGTTGTTTGTAACAGGCAAAACGAATCGAGATAGATATAGACAAATGTATACATAAATGATCAGGATGAAAAGAGAAATCGATTAAGCGGTGACTGTTTGTCCGTCCGTCCGTCCGTCCGTCCGTCCGTCTGTCCGTCTGTGCACACGATAACTCGAGTAAAAATTGAGATATCTTAACGAAACTTGGTATGTGCACTTCTTTCGGGCGTAGGACGGATGGTATTGAAAATGGGCAAAATCGGACAATAACCACGCCTACCTCCCATATAACGGTAATTTTCAGAAATACAAAAACTGCGATATTTTAGTAACTACTGAAGATAATTCACTCAAAATTGATATTTATAATAAATTTTAGACGAAAAATAAGAATATTAACATTTTTTTGAAAATGGGCGTAGCCACGCCCACTTATGGTTACATGTGTATATCTTGGTAACCGCTGCATCAATTTATTCCAAACTTTGCACAGTTGTTGGCCTTGATACAGCATACTAAATGGCCGAAAATTTTAAAAATTGGACAATAACCACGCCCACTTCCCATATAACGGTAATTTTCAGAAATACGAAAACTGCGATAGTTTCGTAACTACTGAAGATTATTCACTCAAAATTGATATTTACAATAAGTTTTAGACGAAAAATAAGAATATTATAAATTTTTGGAAAATGGGCGTAGCCACGCCCAGTTATGTTTACATGTGTATATCTTGGTAACCGCTGCACCAATTTCTTCCAAACTTGGCACAGTTGTTAACGTTGGTATAACATACGAAATGGCCGAAAATTTTTAAAATATGACAATAATCCCATATAACGGTAATTTAGAGAAATACGAAATCTTCGATAAATCAGTAATTATTGAAGCTAATTTATTCAAAATTGATGCTTGCAACAATTCGTTACCAAGAAATACGTTAGGATACAATTTTGAAAAATGGGCGTGGCACCGCCCACTTATGATCACATATATGTATCTCGGTAACCGTTCTACCAATTTGTACCAAACTCGGTGTGGTTATTGTACTTGCCACATAGAAGCAAACGTTGAAACTTATTGAAATCGAACTAAAATTACGGCCGCTTTTCATATAACAGTAAATTTCAGATATGCTTGAAACTTCAATATTTCGAAATTTAAGGACGCTAATTTACTCAAAATAGATACACCTCGGTTTACCATGTAGCGGTAGCTTTCGGAAAGGTGAAAAACATATATTTAATACTTGCGCCGGGTATTTAATGTTCGGCTCCGCCCGAACTTAGACTTTTTTACTTGTTATTTATGCATTTACAAGTACATAGCATACACATTTCAAATATTATATTTACATACTTATTTCTTTATTCGCAGGTCAAAAAAATGCACGATCGTGTTCAGAAAACTAAAGATCAAGTTGCAAAATGTCGGGAGAAATACGAGCAGGCCATCGCAGAGATTACCAAATATAATTCGGTATATATCGAGGATATGACTTCAGTGTTTGAAAAGTGCCAAGCCATGGAGAGGACACGATTGGTCTTCTTTAAAGATGTTCTATTCAATATTCACGCGTGCCTGGACCTCACCAAGGTGCAATGGTACGTGAGTTGTTTCTTTTTTGCCTTTGACAAAAGCTTGCACCTATTTTTTTAATACGTTTGAACTCCATAGTCTGCCGCAAATATACGAAGAGTTCTATCACACCATAAATAATGCAGATCAGCAGAAGGATCTGAAGTGGTGGTCAAATAATCACGGTGTAAATATGGCTATGAATTGGCCCTCATTTGTCGTAAGTAGAATTTATAGCTCCGCATGCATATGTACATACTTTTAATTTACATTGCTTCAGGAATACACCGAAGAGTTCAGAGATATAGCAAAGGGCAGCAAATCAAAGGAGGCTCTTCCAGCAGCAGCAATCACACTTATCAATCAGCGTCCTGTTTCTGAGGACCCGCATGTATTTATAATATTGCTCTGACGGTTTGCAAATGGTTACTTTTTTTTTTGTTTACAGGAATATAACACGAATAGCTTAAAGAAATCATCGGCAAATTCGAGCAAATCTAGTGGAAAATCCATGCCACAAGAATCTGCGTCTTCGCCTACAACAGCGACAGCGTCATCGGCTGCGGCGATCGGTAAAAGCGCAAATGCAGCATCGGCTTCAAACAATCGCAATTCAAGCGTAACGTAAGTTAATCCCCATAAATATAGAAATAATCAAAACTAAGTCAAGTGTGAACATTTATACTGTGTGCGGTAAAAATTTGCATACCCACGCATTGAGCATTGTTTTCTCATTACCGTCGTCAGAATTTTGACCGTTTTGGGGCTAATTTGGAGTATTTTTTTTATATTTCAGGAATGGGAATGGCAAATCCGACGTCAATCCATTCGAAGAAGAGGAGGAATGGGATGAAGGCGATAACGTGTTGGTGGATAATGGAGAAAAAGGTGTACCAGTCAAGGCTTTATATGACTATGAAGGCGCAGAAGATGATGAGCTAACATTTAAACAAGGTTAGGTCGTGTGCCTTTTCGAAACACTATTTTTATATATAAGTAAATATGTATATTTTCTTTTCAAATATATTTAAGGTGATGTCTTCGAGAAGCTTGAAGATGAAGATGAACAAGGTTGGTGCAAGGGACGTATGAATGGGCGCGTTGGGCTTTATCCGGCAAATTATGTGGAACCACTACATACGTAAATAAAATCAAATCATTTTTGAACTAAAAAAAAAATTAGTAAAAATTAAAAGCCAACCCGGGAAAATTTAGGAAAGCCAAACATGCTGCATTCATTTAACTCAACGCAAAATATATTTAAATTATCATAGAGAAGCATTTTTCGTCTGCGAAGTATTTCGAGAGAAACCGGCGACGAAATAGTAAGCAATACTTGAAACACATCACCATTAGAATCATATTTTGTGATTGTAGCCTATTATTTGTTCTTGTATTTGAAAATTGTTTACATCAGATATCGAAGTATTGTTTAAAACAATTCGAAATGAAAACAAATAAGAATGAATAAGTCTTGTCAGCTTAAGGTGTTCTTACACGATATGTATTTGCATGTATGCATGCCACTTTTTACATATGGAAATGCCAACATATCATGTAAAGGCAAATTAGATTTGTTTCTGTACAAAGCAGATGCGCGTACATACGAAATAGAAATGTTGCTATTTTCATCTGACACACATATAGAATCATGTGGGCTTGGTGTTTTCGTTTTCAAAGAACGTACTTTTAAATACTTAAATAAATACTGTGAATTTGACAGGCAGATGCATTTGCATATGTTCGAAAAAGTCACATTTGCAGATGCAAATACATATAGTGTAAGAACACTCTTATGAATATTAGCAGTGAAAATTTTAAAATGTGATTTTAATCTTTTATGTTAGTCTTTATCAAGTTGAAAGCATTTCAAGAGCAAATTCAATATTTTTTCCTATTTAACATAATGCCCAGGTCACATGGTCCTCCCATAAATCCGTGCTCCATTAAGGTTAAATGAAAATTTACTTACATATATGTATATTATGTACGCGTACATTCATGTAATAAAGCCGCAGCTGAAATTTATTTATTGCAAATGAAAACAAAGTAAATTCAATTTTGCGATTCCGTTTGAGTACGGACGTTTAACAAAACCAAAATTGAATTAGGGAATTAAAAAAAAAAATGTTTAACTTAGAACCTTCAAAAACGAGTGGGCTGCTGTTCCAAAGGCGTATGAAGCAGTGAAAGAGGTGAATTCTTGGTGACCCAGCCGTTGCTTAGCACACCAAAATTGCTTCTTCAGTTTTTGGTTCGCGAAGCGCATTCTATATTCCACTTGTTCTATATATGTTACTAGAAACGAGCGTATGCACAAGTATTAAAACAATCATATGCTGATTTTGAGTGGATAAATAATAGATAGTAGACATAAGCAGGTATGGGTCATAAGTTTTTAACTCGAAACACACTTTTAGATTTATTAAAACTTTTAATTCAGTTGTCAGATACATATGTATGTACATACATATATATATAAATATATCGTTATATTAGTTCACAAGTGCCCTAGCCAACAAATTTTTTTCTTACAGAAGCAGAAAACACTACAAAACCGGTAGAGATTTTTAAAAAGTTGCATGTAACTCCTTTGGTACTAACACTGTAAAATTTTTCTTGAAGTTGTACTTTAATAAATAAATAGTGTTGGTTTAGGCCTTTAAGAATTAAGGTGACGATATTTAAATTTATTGGGATATTAAAGCTCGTGCTAATTTACAAGCACCCAATAGGTTTGCGAGGTCAGCGATCACGCTCGTATTGTACTACATATCATTTCTTAACATCCAGAACAAAATCAAAAGTTCGGCAATATGCGTAGAACGAGCGCGTGCCGCTTAAGAAGATTTGATTTAATTAAGACAAGGTATTTTAAAATTATACTTTACACGCGTCTTTGCTAAGATATGTGGAAACCACAAAAGGTATTTATTTTCTTCCACTTCCAGTTCGAGTTAAAAATTATGCACCATATTCATACGTTTACATTTATATACATATATACGTATGTATGTAGTTTATGGATGAAAATACATGTGTAAGTCTATAAAGCAATATTACATAGGTAGTATACTTGCATGATTACGCTAGTTTAAATAGTTATACATACTAATAAATTGAGAAATATGATGAGAAGAGCTACATACATATGCGCAATGCATTTTCTTGTTTTGTAATTTCAATACATATACAAACATACACAAAATGAACATTTTGTTGTTGGGAGAAATATTGTATGTACTATGTATTTAACTACATATATCAAATTTTATTTAATCCGTATTCGTGTCTTTATGTATTATATTTTACATTGGTTTACTCTTTTTAAGAACATATCCTCCTTTAACGTGTGTAACAATGTTTAGAACTGCTTGCTGCCGAAAAAATTTTAGGGATGAAGTTTAAATGGGAAATAAACCACCTAATGCCAAACTTCAAGTAGAGGAAAAAATAAAACAATAAATGAATTATAACAAATATACAAACATACACGAATGTAGCAAGTATTTATATGATTATTATTTACTAAACTTATATCTTTTTGAAATAATAAAGAAATGTGAAATACGTTGATTTATAAATAATAAAGAATTATTTCATTCCTTTATTAACCCTATGAAACTGCCCCTATTTCTAAAAAATAAGGAGCTTACCTGGAACTAATTTTTTTGATACGAGCAAGAACATAAACATTTATATTTATTTATATTATGATTTCGCGTTAGACGGATGTATCGGATCTAGATAGAACTAGTTTCGCCCAGGAAAAACTAGTTTGTCCTAAGATCGAGTATATTATATGAACTTTTTTTGAAAAAATCGAAAAGGATACATATAATAAGAGCGACTTAAAAATAGCATACTAAAAACTAAACATGCGTGTGCTAATTAGATAGCGAAAAAATATTTTACCAGATTTTATAACTAAGTTGAAACTATGGACATAACTGTTTGGATTGTTTTATCTTATCACATAATTCTCGATTATAGTGTAAATACCACAAACACTTTTCGACAGGGTGCTGAAGTCGAAGTGCCCTACGCCTTTGCCACCGCACACTTCTGCTATTTACCACCGTTTCTTCATGATCGCCTATCGTCGGTGAACGTACCGCATAGCATGGAACGCTCAGATAGTAGTTGGCGATTTCGTACAGTTGCTTATATTGATGGGCTTGCAATTGCCACCAACTTATCGGACATTGTTCTAAATCTAATGTTGACTCACACTTGTATCGATTAAATTCTACATCGATAGCACTTTCTGGTTGGGTTAGCTTCGGAATCGGATTGTTGGAATGCTTTCGATTAGCTGCGCCCGCTGCATCGCTAATGCGATGAAAAAAAGATCTTAAACCTTGTAAACGAAAAAAATAATAATTAAAATAATTTTCATGAGAAGTTTACCTAGCTACATAGTTACTAACTTGATTTTGGTACTATCTGTGGTAAGGCATGTTGCTGGCTTTGTCCCACTTTTAGTTGTGTATCTGACGTCGGTATTAAACGTTGAAACCGCTGTTTAATTGCCGCCACTATGTCTTGGCGTTGAATACTTTCAAAAGTGGCATTTTGTCGTTGATCACATATCTGTTGACTATTGGGCTGAATAAAGTCATGTTGAAAGCGCGGATCAAAGATTACTGCCTCAGAAAAATATGAACACTTTGTCAGGCTAAGTTACCGGACCAAAACATATTATTATTTTTATTAATTTTCAAAAAAAAAAACATTTTGCCTACCTGTTGCGTAGTTCAACATTGACTACTTTCTGCGCAGACTCCAGGTAAACATTACCCTCTGTGTTAAATACTAAGAAATGTTCCTCGAAAAGTTTCGTAATCAATGGCCGAACAAGTGTACAGAGTGGTAACGATTCTGTGGTTATTGTATCAAATGTAATCTATGAAGAGTATTATGATGAACAGTTACAATAGTCATTATTGTGCCAATCGCTTGAATAACATATATTAAGAGTGATATTAGAAGTCTGATTAGGAGATCATCACATCTTTTGATAAGGCTTTGTTCCTCTTCTTTAGGACAGCTTAATATTAATTATGGGCTTGTTCGAGTTGCAATCACAACCGCAGTGTTGCGCAAATTATTAGAGTATCACGTTCAGTGTGAATTTCTAGCAACGTATTGTCAGTTGGGCAGATGCAACAGTGATGCAAAATTTCATCAGTACAGCAGTAATGCCGCTTTTATTACATGCCTCGAACCAGCCCGGTTTCTCCAACTCAACTTGGTTTAGCTATTTTTTGGACTTACATAAGTCAAAAGTTAGCCTACTTTTTACACAGCTTATTCTTGACTAAGTCTAAAAAATTGGCTAAACTAAGTTAATCTTTCTTACTGAGAGTTTATTTTTTCGTATATACCTTCAAAGGGTTTATGTATGCTATGAAAGGTTCCAACTCTGACGCCATATCCTGGCATTCCAAATCGTTCGCTAATGAGCTGTCGAGGAAATCTTTAATAAATTTTAGCTTCGACCACGAGCAATGGGATGGCAATTCTGTCAAATTAAGATACTACAAAATCATTGATAATCTCGTTATATATGCAGTCTTATAATATACTATGACGTTTATAAATACCTGACATAGTTTAAAAATCCTGTGAAGCACCTCTAAGACTACATTCTGTTCGAATATTAGGTCAAGACACCGAGTAAGTAATGCATCCAAACATGGCACCACTTCAATTTCTAATTAAAACATACAGACATTTGACTACGTTTTTAAATTCAAGTTGAGAAAACCTACCATGAGTTGTGGCGAATTCATTTACGACTGAATTCTCGTCCACCATTGCTACAATTACAGCACAACGGCTCAGATCGAATTCTAGCAAAGCATTTTCCAAGTCTATTGGGCCGTTACAGACAATTTCTTCATATAGAACACTTTCCAATTTCCTTTCATAATCAACATTAAGAAAGTTAACATAAATGCTAGCAATGCTCTCCTCTTCGTTATTCATATAAGATTCAATACTAAGTGAATATGGTTTATGATCTTGCAAAATGTTTTGTGAAATATATTTTTTTAGAATATCTTGCATTTGCCCAAAGTCATCCTGTACTTTCTTCTCAATTTCATATTTATCTACTGTAGGAGCTCCAATTGAGTTAAGAAGAGTTTTAAAGCCGAACCCCCGCAAAACACTAAACGGTAATAGATCGGTGACCAGCATGCCTGCAAGCCCTTCGACGTAAGAAGCTCTGTTTTGCAACGCACTGGATGTTTTCGATTGTCCCGGGTG